GTATAATTTGTATATACTTTATGTAACTTGTTACTGCCACTTGCAGCACGGGTGGTTATGAGTGAAACAGCGCTTTTCAAGTTGCAATACAACATTGTTGCACATGTGTTGCCCGTATTTCCTATCCAAACTTCTTCTTTTCCCTCGTTCTTGGCAAGTTCTTACAATTTTGGTTTTTCCTTCATTTTCTTAACCTCGAAATTTATGAATTTGAGAGTTAAATTAACCATGTAGAGTTGTTTTTAGATGCATGAACTACAATCCTGGCCAAAAATCTTGGGACACTGCACTTTTGCCAACATGTTCTTCTGTCCACCTCCCTCTCCCCACCCCCGACACAGTGTTGATGCTGATCCATCCAATGTAGACCCACTATTCCAACATTGCCTTTTTTCTCGGAGGAGTGAGGGGAGGGCTCGGAAAATTGAATAATGACTTCCCACTTCAGTATAATGCGTTTCCAGTTGGCATTCTGTCAAGTGTCTCAAGGACTTTTGGCCAGGATTGTAGGTACCAGATATGATAATTGATTGATAATTACATACAATACAATATAATAACAATTACATACAATACAATATGATAATTGATTTTGCTTGTCTATTTAAACAGCTGCCAGTAACTTTAAAATTTGCTTCATGTTTATAACTCTATGGCACAGGTGTAGAGTTATATCTTTATTTGTGCAAAGATATAGTATATTATTTTATTACGTCTTAGAATGTTTTGATAAGCGATATCACTAGTAGGATTTGTACTGTTCAAAATATTTAGTTAATACAAGTTTTGTATTTAAAAGTCGTTCACATCAGGAGACGACGTTTAATTTTTTTTTTCTGGTAATCTTGACAAGTAAAACAGGATTTTTAAAACCAGATGGTTTGTGTGTGTGTTTTGTTCTGTTTCTATGTGTGAACGAGCTTAATCCCTTGGTGTTTCCAATAGTCTGCTGTGGCATTAAGTGTGAAGCCAAAGTTCTTCATGGTTGTTAGTCTACTAGACATTTACAGACGAAAAGTTCAAATAAATTGCGATTGTAAAATGAGCTAAAATAATAAATGCTTGTGCAACTAAATTAACTAACTGTTGGTATAGAGAACATAAAGGCAGGCAATTGTAACGGGTCATTTGATCAAGTAAGAACGTTTTGTCTTAAGTTGCTTTAATGGTCCAGCATTTATTTTAGACCTAAGGCATTCTTTCTTCCTGAGAGAGCAAGAAGAGTCCTGGTACTGGAGAACGTGCTACAAAGGTTAACCGTCTAGCAAAGACCTCTTGTCGTCGCGAGGAGTACTTTCTTTGGTCTAGCGGTGACCGAAAAAAGACAACAGATTGTAATCAGTTCAAGCAGTTATTTTGTCTCCTCTACACAACAACATACATTGCGTTAAGCCAAATAATTTTACTTTGGGTGGGCCTGGCGGTTCTGCATGAGGCCAAGATCACCAACACGTTAATGATACCCTACCTTAATAACAGAGTATTACTACCCTTGGTTCTCCTGTTCTAGTACTTAATCCTTTTCAAGATGTCCGCCATTGTGGATCCACCATCTTGGATTTCATAATTTTTAGCGGCTCCAAAATTGATTTCAAAATATATATATAAAGATTACAAGAACTGTAAAAGTTTTGAATAAATCTCTTTATAAAACCTAAAATCTCACTGAAACAGAAGTATTAACTTAAAAAAACCACTAAATTGGAAACGTCGTCTCCAAATAATTGACTCATCAAACAGTTTCCTGATAAATTTTAAGAAAAATAATAACATTTGACCTTTGCATGTTGAATGCTGTTAAAGTAAGGAAAGTGAAATCACCGCGGTTACTTAAAGTCCTTCCCACCCCTGGCTAAAATTTGTTAATAACACCTTTCAAATCGATTATCTCGTGTCAGTGGAATCATGACTGGTTCCTTGATATGAATCTAAAAGGTGTGCACCCGCATGCATGCACTTGGATGGCAGTAAATCTGAATGCAGTCTCCAGGGTAATATCACATGGTCTGAAATATGCGGGGCGACAAACCACAAGATACGGATTCTATATTTAGCGGTGGCATGGGAAGCCATTAGAGGCTACTGAAGGAATTAACCATTGTGGAATCATACATTAGGTAGGATGCTTTTCATTTCTATGTATAGAAATAGATGTCATTGGTCTGCAGCCATCTATTTGAACAGGACCTGCAACGTTGTAATACTTGCCACCGTTGGCCCAAGTAAGAAGCAACCATTGTTTTGTTATTTACTTGAGAGTTCAACTACTGAAACGGCTCTTAACTTAGTAGGCAGCTTAAAGTGAAAGCTCTTTTCCTTTGGAAAGTGAGATATCTAGAGCAAATATTAAAAAAAACGCTTTGTCTAGCTTTTATCTACAATCTATCAATATCTACCTTTTCATCTATACTTATTTTTCATCTTCCGCAGAACAATTTTGTTTTTAACACCCCACAAGGGCTGAGGGAATAACTATTGCATCACATTTTTATAGCAATCATTGTTTGGTTGAAGTTAATTGTTTTGTCTTTCAAGTCGGTTCTTGTTTGTTGGTGGACGAAAACAAAACGCGATGAAAGGTGAACTTCTCAAACGACTGAAACTTCTTTCGATCATTTTTGTCCCTGGGTTTGACGTTTTTTTTTTTTTTTATTTCCTTCAATTTGTAGCCCGGTGCGAAATCAATACAGATGTAAAGAGCTGGAAAAAGGTTAGTTCCACTTGCACCAATCAAGAACGGTCTAACTCGTGTGATTCAGGGGTGTTTTTCCTAAATTGACAATGAGCGATTGAAGTTATTGGACAACCCTTATTTTAAGCATAACCCATGCTGGAACTACCTGGATTTGCCTTTCCACCTGTAGCACTTTATGTGGGGCTACAAAAGACTGTTACTCTGGTTACTGCTTAAAATTCTAAAATATATCGGTCTATTTGCTGACGTTTGGAAAAGAGCTAAATTCGGGCATTTCGAGTACAAAGGCCTTTTACACTTGCCCTGTGTTTACTAAGCACCCAACTGAGCCACCGCGAAGGCTATTGGCAAACGATTTCGTAGTAACGAGCGCCTGTGTAAATTGTCCTGTTCCTTTATTAAAAGGTGTTCCCTCTTCTTTATGTAAAGCTTATGGTGTTGATTTGTCTCTCGATTTGATTTCATTTTTACATTTTTACGTTTCATCTCAAATAGCCAATGACGGTGCTATATTTAATGTGTAAGAAATGCGTGATCGTGTGTTAGATTCATTACAGATGCACTCCCGCAGTTTTAAATTGTATTTGTAAACCAATACGGCATAGTTATCTTCGTTCTAGCAATTCTTGACTCTTGCTGGGCCGTAAGATCGATTTCTAAACGTCTATTTTTTTTTTGTTTGTTTATTTACGTCCCTGTCGAATAAAGATCCAAACAATATAGGTTCATTTCGCTAACAGCAGGACGGGCGAAATTCAGCTATAGCGAAGGTAGCCCTTGATGAACGCTGCAATATTACGGGTTAGATGTGATTCCTTTGTGTTATTACCTCAAGTTACGTGGAATGCCGATAAATCGAGTCTCCAAGGGAAACAAGGTTTGGTTTGAAAAATGGGGTAGTTCGAGAAATCGGGGTTAAAATTAGTGCTGGACTGAGTGGAGGGAAACGACTTTTAGTTCGAAGAGTTCAATCATCAACTGAACCAAATTACAGCAGGTTTCGTCTTTTGAGTTGTCGATATCCTTTCCTCAGGGCACTTGTGTCCAGACCCTTCTCTAATTTTACTGCGCAACCACTCGCTCGCGGCTCGTGATTCCACAGCCACTTTGACAATGTTATGACGCAATTTATCATCAATAAGAGGACAGACGCATAAAAAAACTGACGTCAATTTGTTTTTTTACAATAACAAGACCCCAAAAAAGGGTCAAATGCCGGGAATAAATGAATAAATTTGCCGTAAACCGTAAACAAAGATGAGTGAATTTTATTCAAAATGACGCGAACATTGTCAATAGCTTTTCTCGCTTTTTGATTGGCCAGTTAAAAAAGTTCATTAAATTTCATTGGTAAAAAGTTGACAGTTTGACAGTTTGACAGCTTAAAACTTGAAAGCTTGCATAAATTAAAATTTTATCCGTCTGTACTCTTATTGATGATAAAAACTGAGCCAATCAGCGCGCGAGAAATTGGACAGTTATTGTAAAAACTGAAATTGAAGTCTTGGCATCCGATTCATTCATTATTCACAGAGTCCAAAAGCGTTTTGAATTCAGTAAGGTGCGTAGTTCTATCGTACTTTTACTTTCTTAATCGTCGGGAAGGGCCTTAATTTCAGCGAAATCTGTTTTAAGGTTGTTCGCGCCCATTGTTTCTGCGCATCCTTACTGCACACGATATTTGTGTCGCCGCTTCGTGCCACGTCCTTAAATTGCTTTTTATTTATTATGGACAGAAAGGTTCACCTCTCTGTAGCTAAATGCTACCAATCATATCACAAATGTTTTAAAACAAAAATTCGTAACCAACTTCTTTTCCACTTAACCACGCTGCTAATTTTATAGTATGCTTTAACCAAGTGCGTGATCAATTATTTAGTAATGTAGAAATTAGCAATTTTTGGTCTTTCCTTATACATGTTGATGAAAAATTTATATTTCGTTAGTTGCCGTCTTAGAAAGGACTTTTCAAGCAAGTTTTCTCAGCGGTAGGTAAGAGTCATGGGAGGTAAAAATAAGTAATAATGGTGCGGATCGGGACTCGTTAATGAATTCCAACTCAAGACCTAGTTGTGGGGCAAGTCGCTTCTCTTTGATCTCGTCACGTTATCAAAATGTACACGTTTATTTCGTTAGCAGGTTTTAGCCAAACACTTAAAAGAAAACTTAAAAAACGATACCCATACAGGTAGCTAAAAATTGTTTTCATCATACTGTTCAGAATGTCGAAGAAAAAAATGTTCAAATGTTGTTGTTTATACTGGTCAATTTGCTTAGCTACACCTAGCTGGTTCACAGGCATGCCACTTAAAATGAAAGAAACAAATATATCAACTACCTGTCGGGAGCTTGGCAAACCAGTTCCCTATTTACAAGCATGACCGAGGAGTTGAACTAAAAAATAAAACTCCGGGTAAGTGGTTAGAGTGGGACTTGAACCTGCGACCTCCGGATTTCACGTCCGGCGCTCTATCCACTCGCCTACGCTGCCTAATTCCTTCATCGTTACCAAGCAACCGACTAATCCGTCGCCAGGAGCATGGGCACGAGTGCTCCAGTTAATAGACGGCTGTGTACATGTTCTTGACAGCTTTCTAAAACAGTTCAGTTTGATCTTGCGAAGCTTAAATTTTCGTTGATCGATAATCCATTCTACGGCTATCGTTAATACTGTATTTGGATTTCGACCGCCGTTGATAAAAGGTGCCAGTGCCACAATTTTCCTCGCGGTATTTTTCAATGATTCAAAGCAACGCCTTTCTACCTAAGACAGAGTTAATAGTCTCCCCTAATTTGCAACGATTGACTATGGAGCTTTAAAAACAACAGGTAAGATGTTATCCCCTCGAAATGATACAAGATATTACAATCCGATCGTAAAGTTGAAAGGTAACATGTAATCTGAATCTACAAAATTATACTTGACATTTTTAATCGAAAGAACATGTGATCCATTCATGTTCGCATGAGGAGATACGAAATGGTTCCTAATTCATCTAAATCTCGTTCGCTTTGGACTACGAAGGTAATGTCCCAGCTGGAATGGTATCCTCCTTCCACCAAAGAAAAGTAATAATTGGAGTAATTTCCTACAGCCAGTGGTAGCAGCTTTAATTTGAGCTTAGGGAGGTGGAATTTCTGCAAAGTATTCGATAAATATACTTTGACTTGTTATAGTCACCCTATTATAACGCGTTTGGCACAGTAAGTGAGTTTATAGCCGCCTTTTCGCCGCAGCAAATTAAAAATAATTACCCCAACTAGTCCAACTGTACATTTCAGTAATTAAAGCGCTTATGTTAAAGCCAGGTGCGAGATTACATAAGAATAGTTCGATAGTTCTTGTTGTAATTATTATTATTATTATTTTTATTTTGTTTTATTTTGTTTTTGTTTTTTTACTATTTTGGTGTATTTTTCGCGTGCATGAATCTTCAGTTTTCGGCTGCTCAGTTTCAATGAGAGCCGTGTATATCCAGATTCTCGTAGCGCATAATGGGAATTGCAGTGGGTGCGTTCCCCAACAACTAAACAAACACAACTTATAGATACTTTTCGTGCTTTGTTCCAATACTTAAGTTTGCATTAGATTCAGACATTCGCTTAACATCTCTTTGAAAAAGTTTCAAAGTCTGTACCTTCGCAATTTTCTATAAAGTAACTTAGAAAAATAGGCGGGCGGCCATTATCTGCACTGCTTTTTAGGTTACTGAGCAACCGAATAAGCAATGGAAATGAGTATGAGTAAGAACGGTCCAATTAAAACACGGCTGTGTACATGGTTGTGACGTTTTTTTCAGAAACGAGCTTTCTAGTAACTCCAAAAATAACAACTTAAAGGACCAGAGCATTAGCTTTCGAGCTAAAACTTGACTTGACTTGCGTTCTGTAACTGGTTAGGGGTATCTAATAGCAACCACCGAACAATACTCTCCTTGTTCTGTAGTCGAAAGCAAGCCCATATTCCTCCTGCAGCGTTTGATATAGCGCCATTACCGTGAAGGAGCTCCAAAAAGGGAATTAATTCTAAGGTGAAGATCTGCACCAATCATCGACTCAAACAATACAATACAACAGGTAAGGGCGCTGGTGTCCAGACCCCAGTTTAGTCACGACCCTGAATTGAATAATGACTCACACGCTATTAACAATCGGATGAGCAAAGTAATTTTTTTCATTCACAGAGTTCAAAAGTGTCTTTGATTTAGTCAAGTGCAAGATTCTATCGTAAGTAAAACCATCTTAATAATTGAAAAGGGCCTTAATTTTAGCGAGTTAAAATCAGTGGCTCCTGGTTTAATAATTATTTATTTATATTTTTTGGACAGAAGGACTTACCTCTCTCTAACTCTATATGTAACTATTTACAGAGACATTTCGTCTAGCAGTTATCAATTGTAGCACAAACGTTTCAACAACAGCGTACCCAGGTACCGAGAGGTGCCGTACTACATATCAGCTTCGTTGCAACTAACCAAACTGCTAAATTTGTAGTATTTTTTTTTAAGCAAGTACATGCAATTTTTGGTCCTTCTTTTTGTGTTTTCATGCACGATTTTTACTTCGTTAGTTGCCGTCAAAGAAGGGACTTTTCAAGCCAATTTTCTCAGTGGTAGGTAACAGTTATAGGTGGTAAAAATAATAAATGATAGAGCAGATAGGGTCATTCCATTGATGTATGCCAAAACAAGAACTAGCTGCAGAGCAAGTCACTTCTCTTTGATCTCTTCGCGGTATCAAAATGTTTATTTCGTTAACAGGGAAGGTTTTAGCTTAAACACTTAAAATAAAACTAACAAAAAGCGGTGCCTTTACAAGTAACTAAAAGTGTTTGTTCATTCATCATACGGCCCTTTATCGTTACTAAGCAACCGACTAAGCCGTCGCCGGGAGAATGGGCACGAGTGCTCTGGTTAATAGGCGTCTGAGTACATTTTCTCGACAGTTAGGTTAAACATCCTTCAGTTTGATCTTGCAAAAACTGCAATGTCTGTATTAATGATCGATAATTCATTCTCCAACTATCATTACTACTGTGTTTGGATCTCGACTGTTTTCGAGTCATAAATTTAATCAATGGTGTCAATGCTACAAATTTTCTGGCGGTATTATCCAACGATTCAAAGCAGAGCCTTTCTACATTAAACTAAGTCAGTCTCCTCTAAATTGCAACGATTGCCTATGGGTCTTTGAAGACAACAGGTAAGATGCTATCCTCTTGAAATGATGGAAGTTATTACAATCCCATCATGAAGTTCAAAAGGAAAGTTAAGTAACATTTAGTCTGAATGAAACTAAATTAGACTTGACAATATGGATCGAAATAATCGTGATCAATTCGTGTTCGCATCAGGAGATGTGACTTGGTTCTTACTGAGTTCATTAGACGCTCGTTTGCTTTCGACTAGGAAGGTCACTGAATGAAAAATGTCCTAGCTGGCCTTCCACCAAAGATTCGCGACAGTTTTTAATCCGCGTTGAGTAATTTCTTGTTACCACTGCAGCCGGTGGTAGCAGCTTTCGAGCGCAGGAACGTGACGATATGATATATGGACCAAAATCCGAGCCGGCAAATATTGGGAATTTCAGCGAAGTTTTGAATTAAATGTACTTTCACATGTTACAATGCTCCTTTTTATAGTGTGTTTTTCACAGTGAGCCGGTTCATGGCCGCCTTTTCGCCGCTGTAAATTGAACTGCAATTGAAGCAAATTGCAAATTAAAGATCTCTACGCTTGTATGTAATTAACGCTCATCCTGTTGAAGCGAAGAAGACTTGGTTTTAGAAAACACATACACAATGATGGGTGGTTTGGAAAATAATCTCAATACTGGTTTCTGGCTTCTTATAGAAGTTGAATAAATTCAGAACACAACATGAAAAAAACGAATTGAATATTCCATTGAAGATGTAGCATCACAAGTCAAAAACAAAAAGAAAATTTACAATTTTAAAATCCATTTCCAAGACAACGCTTCTTTGTAACAACCATTTTATTTTGAGTTTAACCCATAGTGCAACTTTTCTCGCGAAAACGTGGCATCAGTTTTTCGTGACCGTCATTAAATAAACGTTTTCTTTCCTTATCTTCTTTCTTTATTACCAAAAGAAAAAAAAGAGAAGAGTGTTGTTAGAAAGGTCAAGCCCTGGCGGTACTTTCAAGGTTTCCCTAATGATTCACCCGAACAATTTAATCTAGATCTCATCTCGTTTCATCGCGCCAATAGATGAAAAAGGTCCCAGGTAATGAATCTATGATCTGCTAAAAACGTAGCTTTTTGTCAAGCATTTAATTTGACCGGAGCTAAATATTAAATTGTCTTCAGTTAACAATTATAGTGCTGGTGGCCAATGCATACTACAAGTTTTCGAGGATTCAGATAGAGTAAGAGCGTTGACTCCTATTTCTCTTTTTGTAGATTACTTTCTATGCCGTTTTCCTTTTTTTTTTTCGAAACAATAAAGTTAAGTATACATTGGAAGAAAGAAATTTTTGTCTCGCGCACCATCCGGATTCCGCTCTTTGAAGCTCTTCTTTTAACTGTATGACAGCTTCAAATTCCTCTTTAAGTTTTCCGAAAAGGAAGGCAGTTTGGAATTATTAACACAAGTGAACCGCTTATGCAAAATATGATGAGATAGATTGCCTGTCTTGACTCATCTTTAATAATTTTAACTGTAAAAACCGTAGAAACCATGCGGAGTTTCGTGCCCCAAATTTTAAAAATCAGGATATTTTAAGTATCTCATCATCTAACCACAAAAAAATTGGGAAATATCTAAGTATTAGAAGACCTTCGCATGAACGTCCTTAAATGTTAAATTGTCTTTCAGCGTTGTTTAAATTCTGTCTTTGATTTAATAGTTCGACTAAACCTAGTAGCTATACTGTATTAGGACGTTCGCGCGAAAATTTTCCAACATTGATTTTTTTCTGACACTTTTACCACTGTAAGATGATGAGTTAGTTATGTCAGAAATGTAAAAAAAATGGGGGGTCACCGACTTCGTTTCGGAGAGAACACCCTAATCTGAAAAAATCGGGTTCGTTAGCGAATAAGGCCACAGTGTCTGTAAGCCCAAAATATTGCAATTAGATCTTTGAAGTGAAATGTTCTCTGACAAATATTGTTTAAGTGGACATATTAAGTGAATTTAGTCAACTGGTGAGTCTCCTTAAAGAACAAGTTCGCATTTAGCGACCATAGTTTCACACGCCTTGCAGCCGCAAGATGGCAGGATTCGATGTCCCGTGGACAGAAATCTTGAATTTTTTTTTCACATCCCACATTGAGTTTTTGTTCATTTTTGGACAATGTGTAGATAATTGTAAATAAAATCTGTTTCTGGAAAGAAAAGTAGGGGTCAGCGAACGTCCACGATCGTTAAATCCAAGCAAAGTCATAGCAATGGCCATCTGTCCGATCATTGTTTATTTTAGTACTTAGCGCGCGCGCTCGATGCATGACGTGGCGCGTGGATTTGCGTGCGCAGTAAGGATGCGCAGAAACAATTAGCGTGAACGTCCTTAAGTTACCGTTGCCGAAGAAGACGAAAGCGACAAGTGTAGTTTCTAATATAAACCTTATTTTTTTCGTGCAACAAAAGTGTTGTATCTAGGGTTTGCGGTTAACTTTTTTGAAGTAATAAATATGGCCAACGTTGGTTTTCAGCGATAAGAACAGAAACCACAGGGCCTCTTTATTTTAGTAAGTATGGATTTGTTAGCGGTGCCAGTGGGCTCTTGTTTCCCCACACTACTTTAAACTTTTCGTTTCTTTTTGTTTACTTTTTAACAGAGCAAAGTACAGTTTCGATTGAAACTCATTTGTCAATAATTTGTGTGTTACATAACGTGAATAGAAAGGGTTAAAACACGCAAGCTTCGGTACTATGATTCTTGCATGTGTACTTGCACTTTGACAGCACTAATCATTCTCTCATTCTAATATGTGAATAACAGAAATGTGAATAACAAATCGCCCCTTTCTTCAACTAATTAATATAAGTAAAGTAAGTAAGGGGCTTTTCAAGCACATTTCCTCAGCGATAGGTAGAGGACTACGTAAAGTTACCAAGTATAGTTAAACTGCATTAAATTCTAACTTTTCTGTTTCCTTGGTAACCACGCCAAAAACAATTGCGCATGCGCGTTCTTGATGCCCAAAGTTTGCAGTGAGCTTAATTTTCTCGATCCAGTTTCAGTTTCCAAACCTCTAGTTATAATGCGTGAATAGTTCTTATCGAGAGGATTGGCGACCTCTTGTTGCAAATTATTGGTAGTTACCGTACATTGTAAAAGCACAAACAGACCAATCTAATTTGATATTGTTGAATTTTTTTGTTAAACTATTAAATTGACTCATATACGAGGCTATTAGTTCCATTAACCCATTACTTCAAGACAATTTACCTCATGCTGTTTGTTTTATTACAAACGACAAAAGCACTTTCTTATCAAATAAATATATTTTAGCTTCGATTCACAAACCTGGTGTTCAGCTTGTCATACTCGTGAACATTGTTAAGTATTTTTATGCTGAATTTGCAGTAGGCTGTTATTGAGAGCAATTGCCAAAGTTTACAATCGGAGATCACTGTTTCCCGCCATTTTCGTCTTGATCCACCGGTCGCGGTTGGTCGCCTGTGACAGGTTCATTGCCCTCCCCACAGGTCTTTGTATAAATAACCAATAGCTTACAACATAAGTACTGTATTGTGTAAGCAAAAGAAGGAAACTGCGATGCTCTGATCTTGACTTAAGAAATTTCTTGTTCTAGCTGAGAATTTGATCTTGCTGCCATGTTGATTCGTTCTTCGTAGCTATGAGGCGGCGGAGAAAGCTCAAGGTACAGTTGGCCTTTGGGACAGCCGCGGCATTCCTGTTTGTGTTTTACACTTGGACATACCATGATCTAATAAAGGACGTTACAAGAGAAGATACGCCGTTTGCAAGAGAAATTTCAGGTATCGTTTAACTGTTGAAAGTAACTGTAACTAACTAAAGTTAGTAAAGTGCCTTTGTTTTGTCAAAAGAAGAATGTTTTTCAGTTGTTTTTATTTGACAGCCGACCTGCAAAGTAAATAATCGTTTAACTGAAGGTGGTGGCCTAGCATGAGGAATGTATAGAAATTCGTGCCGCTTAGAAATTTACCTGTTTAGATGAAACAAATGGAGACAATGATACTGTTCCTTTTTAAGAGAATAGCAATTTTTTACATACAATAAACCAGTTGCTATAAGGTTTCCGATTTGTTGCTCAGTGGAGCAATCCATAGCAAAACAGTAACTGTTATTCATCTGCTAATCTCCAGAACTTATCTTTTCTTTAATTTCCAATAGTTTAACACTTGCAAAAGGAACAACAAATCATTCTAAGTTTAAAATTTTGCCGGGATATTTGTTATACCCCCTAGATCCTCACAAGCACGTATTATTTCAGCTAATCGTGGAGTTCTCCAAACTACATGTATCACTTGTGAATTTTGATTTATGGATCATTGCATCCAATGTAATATAATTCCCCAGCGCAATGAAACAGGTTTTTTAAACGATAAATCAATAAAGTTATTGTGATTTCAACTCTCCCTTGCAAAGTCAACAAACAAGTGCCAGGAAAGATTAACTCTAAACGTCATTATTTCAACACTGATTCTAAAAAATATTGGTTATCTTTAGAGGCGTGAAATACCTGTTATATTACAGACTTTCAAGTGTTAATTAACGTAGAGTTGTCAAGTTGAGTCATTGCTTGACTGACTGGACAAAATAACTTAGATTACCACAAGAGAAAATCTCCATTTACAGTTTCTCACGATAACTATGGGTTTGATTTTGGAGTGTTCTCTTCTGGTGTGCTCAAGTGGAGTAATCAGAAATGCCAATCTCAGTAGAGTAGCCCTTACTCGTTTAGCTTTAAATTCTGTTCTATATGATTTCCAGAGATGCATTTCTTTTAATATTATTTTCGAGACTCTGACAGTGCATCAGTTCCATTCTAGGGAGTGAAAATGTGGAGAGCTTTTAATATTTTTAACTATTTTAAACAGGACGGAGTACTCCAGAACAATATCAAATGAGGTGATTTTGCATTCTTCGTGGGTAATTCTCAGCCAATCTGATAAAATTCAGTTATTCTTTCAATCTGGCCTAACAGTAAGACTTCAGATCGACAGGAGAATGTTGCACTCCTCTTCGTCGTGGTGTCGTGTCTAGGCACTGTTCCTCTCCTCTCACGAGTATAAATAGGCATCAGAGAACTGCGCCATGTAAAAATACGCATCACGCTACAGATTCTATTTTTGCTAATCAGAATTTGCGACAGATCCAAGAACTGATTATCCAACACAACAACATCTACCCTTTGTCTGAAAGTACAACACAGCACTATAAATTAACAGGCACGGGTGATGGAATTGGAATTGGTTTTTGCATGTTATCTTCATGCGCAGACAAATTATGTAAAGAGAATTTAAAAGAAAGCATGGGAACTGCAAAGGGAAAACATTTCTCACAAGCGCTTTTACATATAAAGAGACGCTCTGAACTGAAGGAATTTCGTCTAACGCGTCTGTGCAAACGTGGCTAGCGACTGTACCGAAATTAAAAGGCCAAAAACAAACACTTAGGGAGACGTTCAGCAAATCACAAGAAACATTTCTCCAGCAATAGCTCTCTATGATTATAGAGAATTTAATATTACGTCCCGTTCACACAAAGTTAAATAAAGTTTAAAAGAAATGATACTGGTGTGACAAGAAAGCACTTGTAACTGCACCCTATTTTTTCACAGCCCTAAAATAATGCCCCGTTTGTGGTTCAGTAGGTGAAACGGACGTCTATTCACTCAACAGATTTCCACCATGTTGTTTGGCAACTTTTGAAGTAAAATTTCGCGGAAACCCTTCCGCTACATACGAGTTAAGCAACGCTTTCGAGTGGTATACCGTCGAATATCCCACGAGTCACTTGTATTTTCTTGGTCACACGAGCCTGTGTGTATACAAAAGAAAATGCAGGTGACAAGTGGGATATCCCATGGTATATCACGAGAGAACGTTGCTTAACTATCTTATACCATGCCATAGAAAATACAGTGGCCAACACAATCAATGCGACATACGCGCGGCGTATGATGGGAAGGTTGGATGTAATACCGTCGAATATAAAACGGTTTTCCTATATTCTGATTGGCTGTATTTTCTATGGCACGGAAACCAAATAGACATCGTTAGTTCGATTGTTTGTTAAGTTGTGTTTGGTAGTCTACCAGAGCGTACAGATTTTCACATGTCATTTTTATTTTTTTAAAATTTGTTCGCCGGCTTCTTAATTTGTTCGTTTGTTTGTTTTTCCGATTATTTAACAACAAGATTATGGCAATAATTCCAATGTAATCATATTCCTCTCGCCCGTTTTCTTTTTCAGATGAGTCTCTTACAATAAGGCGCCTTCTCGCTCACAAGACCCACAAACTAAAAAACTGCACGCCTCCATCGATAGAGGAATTCCCGAATGACTTTTTTACTCAGACGGAAAGACAACACGGCGCTGTCGTTGTTAACTTTGCTGTAGCGTTCTACATGTTCTGGGCCATAGCCATCGTTTGCGATGATTACTTTGTTCCGTGCCTAGAGATCATCTGTGACAAGATGGGGCTTCAAAGCGACGTGGCTGGAGCTACCTTCATGGCCTTAGGCAGTTCAGCTCCAGAGCTGTTCGCCTCTGTAATTGGTGGGTAACGATAACAAACATAAAACACACTTAGTATCTGGTTGTCAGGATGGGTAGGTTCAAAAAATAATTGTAACAATAGCTTGACATCTCTACGACACGCCTTTTAACCGGTGTGATCGTATTGGCATGTCTTTGAATGACTATTCCATAACTTTGTAACAACAACTTGGTTTTTAAAATTTTCAAACAAGGTGAAGAGAGCCCAGCTATGTAGGCATGTTTCCTTTTTAACTTCATGGCGATTAAACCATACAAGCCAGGCCTAAATGTATTGATCTGACAACTTATATCCAGACCCTTATGGTCTCCACAGACAAAGCTCTTGATCTTTAAGCATATCCCTAATTAATCTCAGAAAATATCAATCTCTGTGCCAATTTCCTGTGGTAACAGGAGGCGAATGTTTGATACTTAATGGTTTGAAACTTAATCGAAGGTTAACGTTTATCAGTAATTTTATCACTTGATAGGTAGTTTTTAAATATATAAAGACGACTCTCGTAGTGCAATGCAAACAAGCGGGAATATATAAAACACACTCAGAACATATAGACTATTCAGACAAATTCGTGATTCCAGTAAGACCTTCGCTATGTCTTCTTCTCTTCAGGTGTCTTCGTCACAAAGGGGGACATTGGAGTTGGCACAATCTTAGGGTCAGCGGTTTTCAACGTGCTTTTCGTTATTGGTGTGTGTGGTATTGGTGCAGGCACGGTAAGCATTCTCGTATTGTTTTAATTAGGATTCACTGAAAGTGGAAGCTAAGAAAGGCAATCACGGGAAATTAGTGACACGTTGTAGGAGATATGTGCCTTCATGGTGATTGCGTCGGATATGTGAAATTGACGGGGTCCGGGCTAAGCCCTATTGAGGATTTTGTGTCGTAATCATGGGAAAGACGCCTTGCTCTGTCTCAAAATCTCTCCCTATGTCTTGGTAATAAAGGTGAAAAAGGTCAAGTCTACATAGGAGCCAAGTGGCCAGTCAGGCCGGAGCTTATCTCGGTTTCCGTAGCATGAAGAGACTAGGAGTATTTCTACTCCACCCTGGATGGGTTGCTAGTCCATCACAGGGTTACACCCAGCATTAATTTTGCTTGTAACCATTTATACACCTGGGTGGAGAGAGGCACTGTGAGAGTAAAGTGTCTTGCTCAAGAACACAAACACTCGATCCGAAGACGAGCGCACACTAACCATGAGGCCACTGCGCCTCCCACTGCTCTGCCTTGCTCATAGAAACCAGGAAACCGTCCTGGCAACCTGACAAAATGATAGGGATGACCTGTAATGATGGAAAAGCATTCCATTCATGGGCTGTAGCAATGCTTTAACCAGCTACAGTCACGCTTCGTAATTCGGAGACCGAAGTTGAGATGCCTATACGTAATCGTCTCAGTCTTCTGCAAACTGCCTGTAACTCCGGTCGCAATTCTTTGTGACAATTGCTGGCGACAAAATGGTTTTACCAAACTTACGAGTGTTATTTTTCCCCTAATACCTACTGTTATCTCCCCACAGGTTTTGTACTTGGCCTGGTGGCCTCTAGTAAGAGATAGCTTATTCTACCTCTTCAGTCTGGTAATTCTCATGTTGGTGCTCATGGATAACATTGTCATCTGGTGAGATAAGTTCTGGTTTTCTTCTCTCGAATACACGCCCTCCACTCCCTTAAACGTAAAACTTGTAATAGGCAGTCCTGGGCGCTTAATTCATCTTATGGTTAATTTTATTTAGGCTTTATTCTAACCTACGTAGCAAGCCTTGCGGCACGAAGAGCTTTTTCTGCCTTCTGGTGGGGCGCAAATTGGTGTGAGAGCATGAAGGTCATCGAAGCAGAGGATGGTGGAGCGAGGTCGCCACATAATCCTCTCCTTTGTCAGTGTTTTTGCTCTCGTCCCAATTTGCGCGCGGCCAGAAGGTGGTAAAAGTTCATCGTACCGGAACGCTTGTCCGTAGCTAGCCTTATTCCCAAGGTAATCCCCTCTCAAGTTATAATTAAATAACTCCCGGAGCTAGAAATCCCTGGAGGGTCTGGAAATAGCTAATCCTGTAAACCGAAACTGTTCACTTAGATAGGGGCTATTCACGGAGCTATTCAATTTTATCCTCCACAAAAACGTACGCGCACTGCGCGTGGCAACATTATCCGCGCAAGAGCTGGGTACCATGTCTAAAAATAACTTGAGAATGACTGTCTTACTCTTCATCCTCTCTCGGTTTGACTGTTATAACCTAATGCAGTCAATGTAAATGTCGCAGGTCAGAAGCAACGGCTATGGTTTGCTTCTATTCCGTGTACCTTCTTATTATGTACTTCAATCCTCGCATCGAAGCCTGGCTCTACAAAGTAACAAACACAACCAGCCCGGAGTACAAATCTGAGCTACACGCCACAAACGGCAAGAAAAACGGGTATTCACAACTTGCTGCCGATGATACAACAGATTCTGAATCTAAGGGACGAGACGAAAATGGCGAAGAGAAAAAAGACGCCGACAAAGAAACGACTGATAAGGAAAATGGAGATCAAGAACAAAGCAAACAGGAGGAAGCAACGAGCAAGGATCACAAAGGATTTAGAGGTAAACAGTTCTTTTGTCACCCAAGAGGTTATCTTATGTCGTTTCAAATTGAGCTATAGCAGAACCCATGCGATAAAAACAGTTCATCCCTCAATATAACGAAGTGCCAAGGGTCTAGGAAAATGTCTATAGGCGAAACCCTGTTATTGTGGCTCATTAATTGGGGTTTGAATAACGAGAATCTGCAAGTACCCTAATATCGTTGGACACCTCGCGAAAATGGTTACAAAATTTATACAAGGAAGTGACAGAAACACGGCAACGAAGAAGGGGGATAACCAGATTACAGTGGAAATTCACAACTCGTAAAGGCAAATTCACAAAAGCACTCTTTATCATTTAGTAGTGGCGACGTCTTAGAACATCCCTTGCAGTGTACATTCTTCCAGATATTATAGAGTGGCAACAATGCTAGGCATTTCGTGAACAAAATGTAAATTGTTTCTCCCTTTTTTATTCCTTTTTATCCAGAGAGCGGTGAACATCTTGCTCATCATCATGAGTACGATCAGCAAAGACCTCACGAAGTCCCAGATCTCACTTTAGGAACTCCGTGGAGTCCTCCTGAGGGGACCTGGGCCCGCATCTGTTGGGCCCTCGGACTGCCAATCAACATTTTGTTCTATTTCACAATCCCGGATGTGAAGAAGGAATCCTGTCGCAAGTTCGTGGGATTCTCGTTCGTGGTGTGCATAGTGTGGATCGGAGTCACTTCGTACATTCTTGTGTGGATGGTAACCATTATTGGGTACACGTTTATGATTCCAGATACAGTAATGGGCCTTTCACTTGTCGCCTTTGGCAGTAGCGTGCCCGATTGTTTATCAAGTCTCTTCGTAGCGCAAAAAGGTAGGGTTGTTACAGAATCAAGTTACTTTTGTCGCCCAAAATACCACTGCATTCTTTTTTAGTTAGTGCGGTGGACAAAACTGTTCTGGATCGACGTTTTACGACAAAAAATTAAAACAAACAAAGTGGCACAAATAATTTTGTGGTTGTCTTAGACTTAACTAAATTCCACACATGGAAACTTATTTTTATATGGATCACGCAACAAAGGCTTGCGTTAAACCTTGTCCAAATTTGGTAACTGAGTCACAAAAATATGCAAAATCACGCAATTTCTGAGAAAAAAGAGAAACATCTGGAGTGTTGTTTTGCAAAGAAACTCTTTATGTGCTGGCGGATTTTTTTTGACAAGATTTTGACAAGAAAGCATGAGAAAAGACGTACAACTTATTTGGCCACTGAAAGACGATACTGTCTTCAGAAACTGATATTCCTTAAAGTCGTTAAACTGTTGTTGCCACAAGATCGGTCGTCCACCTGTTTTGAAGGTGGCTGCCTTTGGCTCGCGCTTCGTAGAAGCCACAATTGCACAAAACACTGCTGTTTTAAAGCGTTGTCGGTCAAGAACTTCAGACAAAGCTATTTGTGCTTTTAGGAAAGTTTCTGGACCTCGTTCCGGGCTCATCCATCAGGACCTTGCCATTTTCTCGTATTTTCATGCATAACAGCTTGAAATTTTTGTTTGGTTTGCCTTCTGGCCCTTCAGTGGTAGCACTACAACATGAGTCTTTGCTTCTCTAAACCGCTGATGTATCACAGGATTATAACTGCTGTTTAGATGGATTATCTCTCCTTCCTCATACCATGTTCTCGCCAAATTCATGAAAAAAAAAAAAAATCCACGAACACGTAACGATGTTCTTCGTACAACAACACTGGTCTAACTCTACGATGTCGATGTAAACCATGACTATTTTTTTTTCTCAGAAACCGCGCAATTTTCCGTACTTTTGTGATTCAGTCCGCAAATTTAGATACACTGTGACGGAAGCCTTCCTTGCGTGATCTATATGAAAATAACTTTCCATGAGTGGAATTTAATAAGGTTTAAGACCATCAAAAAATTATTTGCATCGCTTTGCTTGTTTTAATTTTGTGCGTTAAAGCGTCGATCCAGAACAGTTTTGTCCAGTGTTCTATTATTTGGCAAACCGGTCCCAAGATGAAAAGGAGAATTCTGATTGGATCCCTGAGCAGTCCGATCATAAGAATACGGACCGCCAAGTTGGACCACTTACGAATTACGTTCGGCGCTGTTATTTTTAAAAACATTGCCATGTTCATCTTTTGGCGGACACTTTCAGTTTACTAGTAACTTTACCATAACCAACTGAAAAAACAAACAAACGAAAAAAAAAAAAAAAAAAAAAGAAGCGGAACCGGAAACGCCTTTACGTATAATTTAGTATGCAAAACGATGTCATGTGACGAAAACTTATTCGAGCATGACAAAGAAACAACACAAATTGTTCACGATAAGGCACTTTAATTTACAAGGGGAAGCTTTATGCCACCATTCGTGCTTGACATCAGTTCACTGATGTAGCGATGTGAGAACTAAACCGGTATAATTTCGTATTNAAAAAAAAAAAAACGCAGCGCACGATTGGAAGGTTGGGTGTAATAGCGTCGAGTATACAGCTGTTTTCTTGTATTCTGATTGGCTGTTCTTTCTATGGCATGGTATAAATATATTAATACCATGACGTAGAAAATACAGCCTATCAGAATATAGGGTAGCCGTTGTTCACTCGACGAAAAAAAGGAAGAGAAAAAAAAGGGAGGGAAGGAAGAATAACGACTTCGTCGTGAAATCAGTGGAATACTAGATATGTAAACTAATGTTTCGGCATACACATTAATTAACTTTTTCTCACTCTCCCAGGTGACGGCGACATGGCAGTGTCGCACACTGTGGGTAGTAACGTCTTTGATATCCTGCTGTGCCTGGGAATCCCTTGGCTTGTCAAAACCACTGTGTGGGACTATGATTCGACTGTGGTTATCAACAGCCATGGACTGTTCATCTCTTGTTTCTTCATTCTCGGCTCCATAGCTGTCACTTTGATTATCATCTACTACTACAAATGGGTTTTAAACAAAAAAGTGGGCTGCATCTATCTTTTTTTTTACTTTATATTCATGGGCATATCGATCTACGTGGAAATGAACGCGTTTGGAAAGTATAACCCACCCATGTGCATCGTGGACACTTGATTCAGCAACAACAAACAAATTGTCGTCTTTGTACACCATGTGGTTCTTAGGGGACTAGTTGGGAGAATTTAGAACATGATCGGAAGCGCAACACAAGTTGTTTTCCTTTCGTTTGGACTCACCAACGTGAAGGATGGTATATTGTAGTGGGCCAGTCTTCGGACTTGAGGGTTTTAAAAAAAGACTTTCCCACGGAGTTCAACGATGTCTGCTGTTTGAAGGCATCATTATAACTAACGGAATTTGAACGACTCTTTCAGTATATATAAGCTGGGTATTACCCACGGCTTACATCTTTATGGAATCGTTTTTTTGTAAGAACTTAGAGACTACTCGTAGGTTCCCATAAGCGATTGTCGTCACGGTGTACAATTTAGTAGAAACTTTCTTTGTCCTATGAGAAGTTTTTGTGAGATAACTGAAATCCGTGCAAGCGTGGAGTATCGGCGAATAGTCACATTTTCCATAACCAATGATATTTAAGACTCACAATAGACCCTGGCGAGTCTTTACTACAATAGAACTCTTTCAGATAGTGTTAGCCAAATCTAGGATTTTAAAAAGTTTAGTCAAATTTGAATGGATAGCCCTGAAGTCATTTCCAGTATAATATTGGGAATTCGTTAAAACGCATATTGCTTAGCTGATGGTAAATGCTTAAATAAAGCGTACCTTATTGTTTCTTACTTTCGCGGGAACTTAATTTCGCGAAATTGCACGGGCATGTCTCGCGGGACTTAAATTTTGCGATTTGCCCAAAAAGTACGTTAAAAGGAAATACATTTCGGGAAAATTGTCAAAATACTGATCTTCAGTAACAGCCAATTAGTATCAGAACTGGCACAATAAAATTTTTCTTAGCAATAGTTTCCAGTCACACAAAACCATACCAGAAAACGCCCCAAACTGCTAATCAAGGGGTTGAAAAGGCTTGCCATTCATGTTGATTAAATAAATATATAGAAGGGTATTAAATTTCGCGTGGTTAATTTTCGCGAAAACGTTCTTTCGCGGGTCTTTAATTAATTATGTCTCGCGAAAATAAGTAACAATAAGGTAGCTAACCAGGAAGGTATATATAAAATGTATTTGCCAAGGGTTTTAGTGCATGCTTCGTGATGTGGGTACATTGGCACATGGCTTAAAGAGGAAATGTTGCAATTACTGTGACTCACATTCTCCTCGCTAACCTAAGTCTAGTTACCTTATTAAAAAGCGCAATACAATGGTTTCATAGAACAACGAGAAAAGAATTACGGTTTTTTTTTTCTATCGGTGATTTATAGCTCTAGTTTTGTATGGATTTGATTAGAAGGTGGACAGTAGTGGTTTTTTTTTTTTTCATTATTCAATTGTCAAGTCCGCCATATTGAATCTCAAAGTTAAATCCCGTCGCCCTAACCCAGGGCAACTGGGTATTTTTTTTTCCGGTCTCCCCAGACTTTTTAGGAGACAGACGGAGTACTGGGACTGGTAACAACTAAGGAATTAAATAAACTGGTGTTTACCTCGCGACATGTAGTAGAAGTTATTACACAGTTCAGTTTGAAAGACCACATGCAAACACGGACTCTTTGCGTTTTTTATTCTTTATTTATTTTTATTATTTTTATTATTTCTTTTGTTCTTTTATTCTTTAAGTACTCAAAGGTCGATGTTGACATGGTTAAAAAAAATTGTTGCAGAAGGTGAGTAGCTAGTTTGACATTTAAACAAAGGGATAAAGAGAGTTTCTTTATCACATCAATTTTACAGACCTGTTCAGTGGCGGTCTTCTCGCGTTTGAATGCAATTAATATCAGAAGTTAAGTCACAAAAAGGAATGTTTGTTTGGATTTTTCGCGGTGGTTTCGCAGTTCCAAGGTTTGCATAGTAAAATTAATGTTTTCGTAAATGGACCGTATTGAGAAATGGGCACCTTTTCCTGTATTTTTCTCTTTTTTTTTTTCAGTTACCGGGTATCTCAAAACGACGAACTTTACATTGTATTGAAAACTTTGAGTGTTCGAGTTGCTTCTTGCAAAGAATACATTGCTCTTCAAATTTGTACTTAACAATCTGCACAGAGCCCGCAATGCATACTTTGTTCTATCGGTTACCGTCATGTAAAACTAACTTCCGCCTTTTACATATACATACGTTAAGAAACAGTGGCGGTCACTGGTGAAGAAGGTGTGTAGAGGTATTATAAGTTTGGCCTGATACAGGTAATGAAGTGGTTACCAGTGCATGCAAGTGGTGAAGTAACCACTCACAGAGGATTGTAGACGGAAAATATACTAGTGATTACTTTCCAAGTTTTCCATTTGATATTCGGTTATTTGTTGCTCGTTCTTTGTAATGCCGTGTAATTTCAACCTTATAATCCTCGCCTCCCACCCCTGGTTACCCCCCACCCCAACCCCCCGCGCAAAAACGACAAGGCAAGGTCACTCAGTGCAACCAATAAAGACCACCAATGAAGGAGTCTAGCAATACCCAGTGGTTAAACAATGTGCGAAGACTTAAAAAAAGTAAGGACAGTCCCAAAGCAAATGGAACACCAATCTTTGTAAACATATTATTTAACAACTGACTTGAGAACAACCTTTATAAAGATGCAAAAATATTAAAGAACTGTCATAAAGTTTCTGTTTGAACTTTTAGGGCATTAACACATAACTACACTTTGGCCTAAGCTTTGTCACTTGATTAAACTTTTCCTAAAGCTTCTAGTTACTATTGTTAAAAGAACGAATATCATTAGAGTGGTAATAAGTTATTGAGACACCAAGATTTTTGTCAATGGCACATTTGTAAAAGCAAAATTAGTTTGTCAGTCATACCTATATTGTTGTTTCACGTCTTCAGCTATTAAATTTTCTTATCTAGACAAGGAGTCCCCCGGTAGCCTAATCGGTTAGGCATCTGCCCTGCTGACGCCAGTCGGGGCACTTCGCTTTTATTTTTTCTTTCTCCTGTCAAACTGAATAGATATATTTTTTTGTACAATCTTTTTTTCTCTCGTTTGAAGTAAGTTTGATCTGAAAATGTTTCTTAAGAAAGGGCATCCACCCTACGTTACCGTAAAATGCCCATCTAGCCATGCCTTGATTCTTTTTAAGCCCTCTTTATTAGCACGAAACCAGTGTGCGAAGTCCTTAGAAGGGATGGAGATACCACAGCAAATGGAACACCAAGGCTTGTAAACATATGACTTAACAACCGACTTAAAAAGGGTTTTCTAAAGATGCAAATGGAACACCAATAGTCACAAATAGTCCCCCTGTAGCCCAGTGGTTAAAATTTCGAGCTTCGCTTCGGAAGGGAATTGCGTTCAGCCCCCGCAGGGGGACTGCGACTCTTTTTTCATTTTTTTTTCTTGCACTGAATATATATATACTTTTTGTACAATCTTTTTTCCGTTTAAACAAAGTTAATAGTGAAATGACCTTTTAAGAAAGGACTTGATCTGCCCGACCGTGAAATACCCATCTAGCCATGCCTTTTTTCAATACCTGCGACCTTTTATCAGGTTCTATCCTATAGACAAAGACTTTTTAAAAGTACGGATCTTAGAGAATTTTATGCTAAGTTTTACTTTTTTTTTTCGTTGTTTTAAAAAGATAAAATAATGGACTTAAAAACACTCTATAGCTCATGCAAGATCTGTCATTTTTTCCTAGCACATTTCCCAATGCAAGATTAGCCTGTCAATAAACACTACATTTCATGTGCATACAATAATACAGGTAGCGTCAAATATGCTACCCAATTCAAGGAGTCCCCTCGTAGCCCAGTGGTTACATTTCCGAGCTTCGGTTCGGAAGGGCATAGCGTTAAAAACCCCGCAGAGAGACTCCAAGTTTTTTTTCTTTCTTTTTTTTTTCTTGAACGTTATTTTTCTTTTGTTATGAAAAGATTAAATAATGGACTTAAAAAATTCTTTAACTGATGCAAGGTCTGTCATTTTTTCATAGCACATTTCAAAATGCAACATCAGCCTCTCAATAAAAACTAAATTTCACGCGCATATATGTAGCGTTAAATTTTCTACCCATTTCAAGGAGTCCCCCTGTAGCCCAGTGGTTACATTTCCGAGTTTCGGGTCGGAAGGGCATGGCGTTAAGCCCCCCGCAGAGGGACTCCAAATTTCTTTCTTTTTTTCTCTCTTGAACATTGTTTTTGTTTTGTTTTGAACAGATTAAATAATGGACTTAAAAAAACTCTTTAACTAATGCAAGGTCTGTCATTTTTTATAGCACATTTCCCAATGCAAGATTAGCCTGTCGATAAGAACTACATTTCATGTGCATTCTGGTAGCGTTAAATTTGCCACCAAATTCAAGGAGTGCCCCTGTAGCCCAGTGGTTACATTTCCGAGTTTCGGTTCGGAAGGGCATGGCGTTAAGCCCCCCCGCAGAGGGACTCCAAATTTTTTTCTTCGTTTTTTTTTCTTCAACTTTACTCTTGTTTTGTTTTGAAAATATTATATTAATGATGGGAGGTCTGTCATAAGTTAATAGCACATTTCCCAATGCAAGATTAGCCTGTCAACAAAACAACATTTCATGGGCATATAGGTAGCGTTAAAGTTCCTACCCAACTCAAGGAGACCCCTATAGCCCAGTGGTTACATTTCCGAACTTCCGTTCGGAAGGGCATGGCGTTCAGCCCCCCGCAGAGGGACTCCATTTTTTTTTTTCTTTGTTTGTTTGTTTTTTGTTTTTTAAACGTTATTTTAGTTTTGGTTTGGAAATATTAAGACATAGACTTAAGAAAACTATATTAATGATAGAAGGTCTGTCAATTCTTCATAGCTCATTTCTCAATGCAAGATTAGCCTTTCAATAAACACTACATTTCATGTGCATATAGGTAGCGTTAAATTTGCTACCCAAATCATTGAGTCCCCTTGTAGCCCAGTGGTTATATTTCCGAGCTTCGGTTTTGAACAGCATTGTGCTTACCCCCACAGGGGGACTCCGACTTTTTGTCATTATCTTTTGCTGCAGTGAATATTTATATATTTTTTTGTACAATGTCTTTTTCCGTTTAAACCAAGGTAGGAGTGAAATGACCTTTTAAGGAAGGACATCAAACCTGCCTGACCGTTAAGTACCCATCTAGCCATGCCTTTTTTTTTTTTTTTTTTTTNAGTTTTTTTTTTTTTTTTTTTTATTAACTGGGCCCTTTTATTACTTTGTATCCCATTGGCGAAGACTGTTAAAAGTATGGATCGTAGAGAATTTAACGTTATTTTTTACTTTTTTTGCTGTTTTGAAAAGATTAATAATGGACTTAAAAAAAACCCTATAACTGATGCAAGGTCTGGCATTTTTTTCATAGCACCATGACGAGACGCACGGGGCTTCTACTGTAAGTACCGCAGAGAAATGGTAAGAAATTTTCCTAGCATTCCTTACATACTCTCTCTAGGGTTCTTCGTCTTGCGACCTGGAAGGCGTCATAATCTGTTTCAGTGACATGCCGATGATATTAAACAAAAAATAAACCAGAAAGGGCCGATGGAATATGAGACAAGCTTTACAATGAAGTCACGATATTAATAGTGCTTTAAAAGTAAATAGTGCGTTCGAGTCATTCCCGATGCTTTCAAATGATGGCGGACTCCACCGACGCCAGCATTCTGGAACAAAACAAAGTCATTATATATTGGATCACGTCTAAACACACGTGAAAAAAGACTTGGGTAGGAAAAAAAACGTGAGAGGACAAAACCGGGGAATGCCGATAAATCAAGTAATCCCGCAATGATGAACGAGTTACACAACATGAACCTCCCTCTGCTTCTCCGATCCCCCTAATCCAAGTTCAGACCTACGAAGTGAACTTAAAGATACCAAAGTGCCTACGAATGGATGTTGAGCGCGCCGAGCAGACGTAAAACTAATGTCTTGTTTACCCAATGAAAGCCATCACAATAATCTCTGAGCTTGCATCGAGATGCTTGTCCGGGCGTAAAGGAGCGTTTGATTAAGGAATAAAAACCCAGATGATCTGGAATACTTGTTTGAGTATGTCGTTGGCAGTGGGAGCCACGTACAGTATTATCATGCTCGGCAATTGAAGTTATTGTGTAGAAAATATCGCACAATTACACAGCCGAGGGC